AGGGGGACAGCTTGAGGCTCTGTCTCAAAAAAAAAAAAAAGAAGTGCAAGTGGCTGGAACTGGGGGACAAAAAAAGAGAAATGGAGTATCCTTAGGTTTTCACTGGAGGATGGGGTGAACAGTGGAGGCCTTTGGCCAAGATCCAGAAGCTGAGAGAGGACCCACAGGAGGAGCAAGAAAGAGTTTGCTTTTGGCCATGATGTGTCTAAGGTGCCTGCTAGATCCCCCAGAAGGTAAGGTCTTGTCAATTTCCTGGCATTTGAAATGCAGTAAATGATACTAGGGAACTAGAACAGCAAGTGCAAATGTGTGGAGGTGGGATGAAGTCCAGTTCATTGGGGAAATAGATAAAGAAAAGCCTAGCTGAGTGCAGTAGTTTACCGTAATCCCAGAGCACCTGTAATCCCAGTGCTTTGGGAGAAGGAGGCTGGAGAGTCACTAAAGACCGATAGTTTGAGACTAGCCTATGCAACATAGCAAGACCCCAAACCTATTTCTACCAAAAATAAGAAAAAAATTAGACATGTGTGGTGGCACAGGCCTATAGTCTGAGCTACTCTGAGGCTAAGGCAGGAGAATTGCTTGAGGCTGGCCTGGGCAAATAGTGAGAACCTTATAAAAACAAAATTATCTTGGCTTGGGGGTTCATGCTTGTAGTCCTAGCTATTCGGGAAGCTGAGGTAGCAGGATTATCTGTTCGAGGCTGCAGTAACAATCACACCACAGCACTCCAGCCTGGGCGACAGAGTGAGACTCTGTCTCTAGCAAAAAGAAGGATAAAGAAGAAAAAGGAAAACCCAGCAGGCAGGAGCAAGGTGGAGGGATGGATTGTAGAAAGGAGGGCGGAGAATAGAGGCCCCTTCCTGAATCCTCTAACACCATAAGGTTCTGAGTGTCAGAGAGAGACTGACAGGCCCCATTTGGCAGGGTAGAGAAAATGAAGTTTAGTGGTACCCCTGATTAGGAGGGGGCCAGGTAGCAGGGATGGCAACAAGAAAGGTTTGTGGAGAGGAAGGAGGCCCAAGTACTCACCCCACAGCTGCACCAGGAGGCACAGTGCTGTTGTGCCCAGGGACCCCATCCCTGGCCCACCAGGATCTATGTCCCAGCTGGAGCCCAGCCTCCCCAGCCCCTCCCATTTGAGAGACTTCCTGCCACAATCTCCACCCTCCCACCCCTCCCCCTGCTGCTGCAGAGGCAAGTGTGATACCACCACCTCACCACTGCCCCAACCCAGGGCAGACATCAAGGGTTCCACACTGGGGCTCCACTTCCTGCCACCCTGTGCCTCAGTTTCCCCAAAGTGTTTTTAATCCGAAAGGCAGTGTGCATACAATAAATGGTGATGGGGAGGAGAAAGTTTGTCCCAGTTAGGGGAAATCTTTTCTGGAAGGCTCTACATAAACACATCTGTGCATGGGGTGGTGGACAGAGTGGAAGAGCAGGTGTTCTGGGGTGGGGAGGGGCTGGCTACAGAGGCCTGATTGGTGGATAGACTAAATGAACAGATCCCTACCTCCATCAATTTGCCCCCAAAATGTCTTCCCTTGAGGTTCAGAAGAGTGGATTTCTACTGATGACTTTAGGTCTTACTATAGGGTGTCCTCCTGCCCCATGGGCCTGGGGAAAAGCTTAGGACCCTCCAGTTGAGGGGGTTCCTAGGTTCTGGGGTTCCTCTCAGCTTTCTGCCACCTCACTCCCCCAGTCTGTAGTGCCTCCAGAGAGGAGGTGGAAGACTCAAGAGACTTCAGTGTCTCACACCCAACCGCAGGCTGAACTGTCTCACTCCAAACTGAGAAGGTCTACATCCTCCAGGGTCTTTCTCCCAACCACAGAGCAACCCTGTGGTGGCGCTCTGCCGGCACCTAAGCCCGCAGACACACACAACTTCCCAGCATCCCCTACCCACTACCTGAAGGTCCACCATCCCCCCACCCTCTGCTGAGGGACAATGCTGACCACACTGAATAGATTCAACCCCAGGCCTTTCCAGCCTGATGAAGGAAACAGAGCTTGACCCAGACATTTTTAGCCCTGTGTACCCTGGCAGGGAAGCTTCTGGAGGTGTTAAAACCTGAGGCTTTGTAGGATGTATAGAAGTTCAATTGTGCTGTGAAGACGGGAAGAAGACATTGGAGTCTTCTTGGGCAAAGGCCTTAGCTTTTCTTTTCTTTCTTTCTTTCTTTCTTTCTTTCTTTTTTTTTTTTTTTTGAGACAGGAGCCTCAAGCTGTCCCCCTGGGTAGAGTGCTGTGGCATCTCAGCTCACAGCAACCTCCAACTCCTGGGCTCAAGCGAGTCTTCTGCCTCTGCCTCTCAAGTAGCTGGGACCACAGGCGCCCACCACAACGCCTGGCTATTTTTTGGCTGCGGCCGTCATTGTTGTTTGGCAGGCCCGGGCTGGATTCGAACCTGCCACCTTGGGTGTACGTGGCTTGCACCTTAGCCACTTGAGCCACAGGCGCCGAGCCGGCCTTAGCTTTTCAACTGATGCAAGGCATGTGAGGGAGGGCTAAACAATTTAGCAACATATAAGGTGTGTGGGTGAACAGGCTCCAGAGGTCCAGGCTCTGAGCGACCCTAGTCAAGAACTACATTTCCCAGCCTGCTGCAGCTGGTGCGCCTGCGCCCTGCGGGCAGTGATGGAGCGCTAACCGGGGGCGCGGCGACGGCTGGGGCTCGGCGGGCCATTGGCCACCGGCAGCGGTAAAGGCAGCTTAGGGACTCGAAGAGTGAGCGGGACCCGCGGGCCGGGCCGGAGCAACCTGGGTTGCAGCCATGGAAGACCAGAGGGTAGGACACGGCGGGGAGGGGCGGCGCCCAGCAGTGATGATGGGCCAGGGGAGGACCAGGTGTTGCCGCAGCGCCTGCCCACCCTGCCCTAGCTGCTCTGCGGCCAAGGCCCCACCCCTGTCGCTACCCTGTCCAGATCTACCCCACCTCCAATCAGGGACGCAGAATCTCCCATCATCGTGGCTTGGGACCAGGCGTGTCCCCTCTGTGCCCCCCACCCCTCCCTGCATCCTGGTGCTAGTTCGACCCCCATCCCCCACTCCTCTCCTCCTGCCGCAGACAAGGTGTCTTAGCCCTGGGCTCCTCTCCCAGTACGCCGGACACCCCTTTCCTCCCTCCCAGCATCATCTTTCTCAACACCTCCCTTACTCCTCCCCACTTACCTGGCTCTGGCATCCCCCTTCCCCACGCCCCACCTTTGTCCAGGTGATACCCTTCTCCTTGTTAATCTTTTTTCCCAGGTAGGCCCCATCCTGAGGGTATCCCTTCCCTGGTTCATCCCTGTTCTTAGACTGTCCTTTATCTCAGGCGATCCTGTCTCTCTAGAGTTTTGCTTCCCACAGATAACCCTTATCCAGGCTTAGCTCATTTTGCAACTGGCATCGTTTTCTTCTGGAGGTTTCCAACTCCAAGTTAGCCCCTCACCCCAGCTTACACCCCATGTTAAGGATGTGGGTACCAGGTTGAAGGCTCTGTGCTCAGGTAGACATGGTGCACAGATCTTGCACTTCTTGAGAAACTGCTGCTGAGCCTCAGTTTCCTCCCTTGTAAAATGGGAGTGCTTGCAGGCCCATCTGCTAAGTGACTCATATAGAAATAGAGGTTCACCTTGTGGCTGGTGCCCATGCTCATTAACCTGTTTGCCCCCACATCTCCTCCTTGGATTTCAGAAGGGCAGAGCAAGCCCAGGTGGGGAGGCCTTGCTAGGCCAAAGAGCTTATCTGCCCTTGTGGTGTGTGTGTGTGTTTTCATGTTTTTGTTGGGGCAGGAGGCTCTGCGAAAGATTATCACAACACTGGCTGTGAAGAATGAGGAGATTCAGAGCTTCATCTACTCCCTCAAACAGATGCTGCTGAATGTGGAGGTGAGGGTGGCAGGGAAGTCCTGGGTAGGTGGCCAGAAGGAGGGAGGCAGGAGGGCACAGGTGTCGGAATTGACCTATTGCTATTGATGCCCTTGGGCACCTAGGCCTGGCTGGCCATGTCCAGGTCTCAGTTTCCCCATCTAAACATGGGCTTTGGCCAATCATGGCTTTCTAACCCAGGCAAACTCAGCCAAGGTGCAGGAGGACCTTGAAGCAGAGTTCCAGTCCCTCTTCTCCCTCCTGGAGGAGCTGAAGGAAGGGATGCTTATGAAGATAAAACAAGACCGTGCCAGCCGAACCTATGAGCTGCAGGTGTGGGGCTGGGGGGACACCCCCACCTCCAGCCCCACGTCCCTTAGACTCAAGAGAAGCCAGCTGCCTGCAGCATCTTCCTTCAAGTCTGCATGCTCCCAAGTTTCTGGTCTTTCCCCTGGCCATGGCTCATGAGCCTCCATCCCCCCTTAATTCTCTCTGCATCCTCACACCCCCACATATGGCCCAGTTCTTCCTCCTCCTCTCTTCACGTAGTGCCTCCAGTTTTTCAGCCCTTCCCAGTGGTCCCCCAGAACTGACCATATCATCCTGCCTTAAACACTTCCCATGGCTTTTGTGGGCTATGTTTTCAAGCCTGTGTTACCTGGGCTGCATGCAAATATCCTGGGCAACTTCCTAACATCATAGGTTCCTATCCCCAGAGAATACGGACCCCCAGGGGCTCAAGTATGGGCTGGGCATATGAGTTTTTAAGGAAGGGACTCCTGATGCCAGGAGTAAGAGCCAACCTCCCTCTTCCACCTGGAGTTGGAGAAGGGACACTCCTGAAGGCCCTGGAGGTGGAGCCCTGAGAATACCATGCCCAGTGGAGGTAGAGTTCTTAAGAAGACCCACACCTGGCTGGAGCCATGAGAAAGCTCCATGCACCATGGTACCCAGGCTCCAGGAGGTGCTGGGAAGCTCCCAGGGTTTGAGGCAGTGGGGTGAGCTTTCTCCTCCTTTGGTGCCTGGTGCTGTACAATTGGTGCCATACTACCCACAGAACCAGCTGGCTGCCTGTACACGGGCCCTGGAGAGCTCCGAGGAGCTTCTAGAGATGGCCAACCAGACCCTGCAGGCCACAGACAGTGAGGACTTTCCTCAGGTGGGTGCCCCTGATGCTATGTCCATAGAGTTGCCAGATAAAATACTGTGTGCCCAATTTGCTTTCTAAGTCAATGAATAATTTTTTTTTAGTCTAAGTATGGCCCACTCAGGCAATGTTTAGCATAAGTATATCTCAAAGATTGCAAGATATCCTCAGAATGTGTTTGTTAGTGATCTGAAATTCAAATGTATCAATGAAGAAATTTTAGTATCAGTATATCCTATGCAATACTTATATAAGTATATCCCAAATAGTGCATGGGACATATTTATTATATATCTGAAATGCCACATTAACCAGGCACCTTATGTTTTTATTTGCTAAATCTTCTAACTGTATGTACTGGGCATTGGGTAAGAATTTGGGGTGGAGGTGGGGGCCTGTCTCTGCCATCCAAAGGCACAGTCTGTTTGGGGCACAGTCTAAGGGGAAATACCAGAGTTTCTGCCCCTATCCTAGAGGAACTTGGCAAGTGGCTGCCACATTGGGCCTCAATCTTTGTGTCTCTATAACAGCTCTTTGATTTGGTAGAGACAGGTCTTTAAATTTTATTCTGTCCCTCTCTCTAGGCTGCCAAGCAAATCAAAGATGGGTAAGATGCTGGGATCTGGCCCCCACTGTAGTGCCCTGCCCCTTATGTGAAGATGGTGATACTCGGAGGATGGGTACATGGGGAAAGAAGTTCCCCACACACACACCTCAAATGACCAGGCCCTGGGGTCACTGAGATGCCTGCCAGCAGGCTGCTTTCAACTCCTTCTTCACAGTGTGACGATGGCCCCTGCCTTCCGGCTGTCATTGAAAGCCAAGGTCAGTGACAACATGAGTCACCTCATGGTGGACTTTGCACAGGAGCGGCAGATGCTACAGGCACTCAAATTCCTGCCTGGTGAGAGGGGGACTCCTGGAGGGCCAGGATTTAAGGGAAATGGCCATAAGATCTAGTAGAGCCTGAGACAGGTCTTGGAGTAGGGCTGACAGCCAGGAATCTGAATCCTGGGAAAAGTATGCCCTGTAGGGGGTGAACCACTGAGAATGCCACATGGAGACAGTGGGGGGAGTTCCTACCAAGCCCTGCCCCAGGGCATGGCCACAAAGCCCCCCCACCAGGCAGCAGCATCCTGGGAAAACCCTGCCCTTAGTGGTGGAGTCCCAGGAAGGCTACACACCTTGGGAGATGTGCTCTCAAGACACCCCACCCATGGTAGATCTCCAAAGAAAGCCATGCCTCCAATTTGTACAGAATTCTAGAAAGATGATGGAATCCTGAGATAGCCCAGTTATCTAAGTTGCATGAACCCTGAGAACGCTTTGCCTCATCCCTACCCCTTGGTGGAGCCTTGAAGAGGTTCTACTCTCAGGTGTGGCATCCTATCCCCATGTCAGTCCATCATGTGGGTGGGCATGGCTCCAGTACATACACACACACAAACGCACACTCATACACTGAATACAGAGCCCTGATTCCCTCTGCCTCTGTCCTGGGCAGTGCCCAGTGCTCCTGTGATCGATCTGGCCGAGTCCCTGGTGGCAGATAACTGTGTGACTTTGGTGTGGCGGATGCCAGATGAGGACAGCAAGATTGACCACTATGTGTTGGAATACCGGCGCACCAACTTTGAGGGCCCACCCCGCATCAAGGAGGACCAGCCCTGGATGGTCATTGAAGGCATCCGGCAGACGGAGTACACCCTGACTGGTAAGGGCAGTGGAGCAGCCCCAGCCCAGCTGTTGACTGCCTGAATAGCTGCCTCTACTCCAGTCTCTCAGTTCATTATTCATCGTCTCAAAGCTCATGGGATCTGCAAGCAGTTTGGCAGGGCTGGGCCAATCAGACATTTCCAAAAGTAATAATAAGGAAAGTAGTATTGATGACAGCTACTGCTCCAGTCATTGAATGATTACTATGTGCTGAGTGTTTTACCCTTCTGTCATGGGCATAATTATCACCACCGTTTTACAGATGGGGAACTGAGGCACAGGAAGTGATGCCACCCTTTTCTGTCTTCTCTCTACTATCTGTGAGCCAGTCATGCATTTATTCTAATTTATCAAGCACCTATAGCATACCAGTGCTGTCCTCATAGCAGTGATCAAGAATCTGATCCACCTTAGAGTTTGCATTCTGAGGCACCTTCCAAGTATTTGGGGGTCTTCTTGGCAGTTGTATGAAATCAGAAAGCCTGGGGAATCCACCTAGCTGGTGAGGTGAGGGTCTGAAGGAGGGAAAATGTTGAGGTCCCTAATGAATTATTTTGTTTTGGATTTTTCTTTTCCTTTCCTTTTATTATTTTTTTCTTTTTTTGACAGATTCTTACTTTGTTGCCCAGGCTAGAGTGCATTGGTGTCATAGCTCACAGCACTTCAAACTCCTGGGTTCAAGTGATCCTCTTGCCTCAGTTTTTCTACTTTTAGTAGAGATGGGGTCTCGCTCATGCTCAGGCTGATCTCAGAACTCCTGAGCTCAGGCAATCCACCTGGCCTCCCAGAGTACTAGGATTATAGGTGTGAGCCACTGCACCTGGCCCCAAGGATGGCTTTTAAAATTCATTAGGGGCCAGGAACTCTGGGAGGACAAGGTAGGTGGTTTGCTTGAGCTCAGGAGTTCTAACTCCACCCTGAGCAAGAGTGACCTCATCTCTACTAAAAATAGAAAAAAGTAGCCAGGCGTGGAGGTGCACACCTGAGTCCCAGCTTCTGGAGAGTAAAGCCATCCTAGGCCTGCTGCTCATGCCTATAATCCCAGTGGCTTTGGGAGGCTAACCCAGGAGAATCGCTTGAACCCAAGGGTTTGAGACCAGCCTGTGCAACATAGTGAGACCCTGTCTCTAAGAAAAATAAAATTAACTGAGTGTGGTGGAATGTACCTGTACTTGGAGACTGAAACAGTGGGATTGCATGAGCCCAGGAGTTGGCAGCTTCAGTGAACTATGATCCTGGCACTGTACTCCAGCCTGGGCAACAGAGTAAGACACTAACTCTTTTTTTTTTTTTTTTTTTTTTTTTTTTTTTGAGACAGAGCCTCAAGCTGTACCCCTGGGCAGAGTGCCGTGGCATTACAGCTCACAGCAACCTCCAACTCCTGGGCTCAAGCGAGTCTCCTGCCTCCGCCTCCCAAGTAGCTGGGACCACAGGCGCCCGCCACAACGCCCGGCTATTTTTTGGTTGCAGCTGCCATTGTTGTTTGGCGGGTCCGGGCTGGGGATTCGAACCGGCCACCTTAGGTGTACGTGGCTGGCGCCTTAGCCGGTTGAGCTATAGGCGCCGAGCCAAGACACTAACTCTTAAAAGAGAAAATAAAAAAGCTATTCTGAGCCAGGGGAAACCCTCAGGGGTGGAAAGAAGCTTGCTGACATCTTAACTATCACCATTCAGTAACTGCTATTGGACTGTAATCAGCCTGCTAGTTATCTGTAATTAGCATACATGGTTAATAATGAGCATGCTAATTGCAGGGGGAAGAAGTCACCAGCCAGCAAAAGAGCCTGAGAGAAGCTATTGGTTTATCTTTTGCATAGGAACCAAAATAAACACACATACCCTCCCTTTTTAAAAATGGGATTCCATAGACCTCTCCTCCAGGCACTCCTGCCTTTTGGGTCTGTTTTATTTTGTTGTAATTTTCTATTTTGGAATAATTATAGATCTGCAGGAAGTTGCCAAAACAAACAAATGGGGAAAAAAGGACAACAAAGACCTGTGTAATTCAATATCAGAATTAGGAAATGGAGGCTTGGCGCCTATAGCTCAGTGGCTAGGGCACCAGCCACATACACCAGAGCTGTTAGGTTTGAACCCAGCCCCGGCCTGCCAAACAACAATGACAACTACAACCAAAAAATAGCTGGGCGTTGTGGCGGGTGTCTATAGTCCCAGCTACTTGGGAGGCTGAGGCAAGAGAATCGAGTAAGCCCAAGATTGAGGTTGCTATGAGCTGTGACGCTAGGGCATTCTACTGAGGGCGACATAGTGAGACTCTGTCTCAAGAAAAAAAAAAAAAAAAAATTAGGAAATGGATGTAGGCCAATCTGTAGGGTGGCTTCACGCTTTGCCAGTCTTACCTGCACTTGTTCGTGTACATGTATTATTTATTCCATTCAGTTTTCTTCCACTGCTGAATTCACATAACCACTACCCAGGCAAGGTATTAATCTGTTCCATCACTGCAGGGTTCTCAGTTGCTACTCACTTTAGAGCCACAGCTTCCTGCCTTTTATAAACATCCTAGTGTGTGAATCCCTCAGGGATGGAAGTTGGATGCATCTAAAGCTGTACAGGAGTGAGGATAATGATGAATGCAACTTTTTTTTTTTTTTTTTTTTGGCGGTTTTTGGCCGGGGCTGGGTTTGAACCCACAACCTCTGGCATATGGGACCGGCACCTTACTCCTTTGAGCCACAGGTGCTGCCCACGAATGCAACTCAATTCATCATTATCCTGTAGTTATTTGCAATTCATCTCCTGTTTCATTAATTGGAAAGATAGGAAGTTTTGAGTTGTGTTTAGGACTTAGGCTCCTTGATTCATCTCATCCTCATGTAAACCCCTTTTGGTGTGTGGGGTGCATGATTGTCAGCTTTCAATTTAGGAAGCTGAGGCACAGAGTGAGTCCTGACCACCAATAGGCACATGTGTTCCATGTTTCTGAAACTGACCTTTCTGGGTAGTTGTTAGCTCAGGGGCAGTGGATGGATTTTACTGAGTATCCTGCTAAACTCTTGGAACGAGGGAGCCAAAGAGGAGGGTGAGGCAGTCAGAGTGGGCACTTGGAGGAAGTGGCAGCCGGGTAGAGGCCCAAAATTCTGCCGGGCAGAGGGAACAATCTGTTTGAGGGCTCAGAGGAAAGAGTGTTGAGCCATTGTGTGTGTCTGGAATTAGTGAAGTTTGTAGAGAGGTGAGAAGAGGAATAGACTGTACCCTGAGGGTAACAGGAGCTATGGAAGGCTTTAGAGCAGGGAGTGCTTACTTTTGTTTGGGATTCTCTGAAAGTAGTGTCAAGAAGAGCAATGTCCAGGAGTCTACTGGACATGTAGGTCTGGGCTATAGGCTGGGCTGTGGGTGCTATGGGTAGACAGATGGTGACTGACATTTAAGAGTGGCAGAAGTGGCTTGGCGCCTGTGGCTCAAGTGGCTAAGGCGCCAGCCACATACACCTAAGGTGGTGGGTTCGAATCCAGCCCGGGCCCGCCAAACAACAATGATGGCTGCGACCAAAAAATAGCCAGGCATTGTGGTGGGCGCCTGTAGTCCCAGCTACTTGGGAGGCTGAGGCAGGAGACTTGCTTGAGCCCAGGAGTTGGAGGTTGCTGTGAGCTGTGATGCCAGAGCACTGCACCCAGGGGGATAGCTTGAGGCTCTGTCTCAAAAAAAAGAAAAAGAGTGGCAGAAGAGAAAGGAGCCTGCAGAGGGGACCAAGGAAGAGCAACTGGGAGGGTGGGGATAGCTAGTAGGGAGCGCTGTGGCTGCCAATGAAAGAAAATGTTCTAGGAGGGAAGGTGTGGTCACACAGCAAGTCCAGCAAGTTGGGGGCTGGCAAGACCAGAGGAAGGAGAGGTTTAGCTTGATAAAAAGGGAAAAACGGCTCAGCGCCTGTGGCTCAAGCAGCTAAGGCGCCAGCCACATACACCTAAGGTGGTGGGTTCGAATCCAGCCCGGGCCCGCCAAACAACAATGATGGCTGCGACCAAAAAATAGCCAGGCATTGTGGTGGGCGCCTGTAGTCCCAGCTACTTGGGAGGCTGAGGCAGGAGACTCGCTTGAGCCCAGGAGTTGGAGGTTGCTATGAGCAGTGAAGCCAGGGCACTCTACCCAGGGGCTCAGCTTGAGGCTTTGTCTTAAAAAAAAAAGGGGGGGGGGGAACAGAAAAGGAATGTACTGGGAGGTCGAAGTGGGTGGATAGCTTGAGCTCATGAGTTTGAGACCAGCCTGAGCAAGAGTGAGACCCTGCCTTTACTAAAAATGAAAAACAGGCAAAAGGATCTCTTGAGCCCAAGAATTTGAGGTTGCTGTGAGCTATGATACCAGGGTAATCTACTGAGGCCAACAAAGTGAGACTCTGTCTCAATATAAGAAAATGAAAAGGAAAGTGGAGAATCTTTATGTAATCATGCATGGCTAGATCCAGGGATTGCAGTTGTACTAAGTTGCTCAGTCACCTTTGTTCCCTGCAATTGTAGACTCTGGAAGCTGCCAAACACAATGGCAGATTTTCTCTGGAGGTGTTTCTTCTTAGCTTGCCAGTCCAGGGAAAGGAGCAACTCTACTTAATACAGTGCCAAAGTCTCAGTGCCGATTCTGATTGGCTAACTTAGGTCATGTGCCTATCCTGACCCAATCACTGTGACTAGGCCATAAAGCATTCTGATTGGCCTGTCTTGGTTGAAGGCCCAATCAAGTAATCCATAGCCCTGCAGGTGGATGAGGGCAAGCACAGTTTCTTTTTCTTTTTTTTTTTCTGAGACAGAGCCTCAAGCTGTCACCCTGGGTAGAGTGCTGTGGTATCAGCTCACAGCAACCTCCAACTGCTGGGCTCAAGCGATTTGCCTGCCTCCGTCTCCCTAGTAGCTGGGATAACAGGCGCCAGCCATAATACCTGGCTATTTTTTGGTTGCAGCCATTGTTGTTTGGTGGGCATGGACTAGATTCGAATCCACCAGCTCAGGTGTATGTGGCTGGTGCCTCAGCTGCGTGAGCCACAGGTGCTGAGTTGCAAGCACAGTTTCTCAAGGATAAGATGTTTGTAAATTGCTCCTTGGACTTGGTGGGTGGTGGGATTACTGTGAGACATGACTAGCTTTAATGCCTTGCTCAGAGTCTTAGAGAGTGCACAATGTTGACATCTTCTCTTGCCTCCCAGGTCTCAAGTTTGACATGAAGTACATGAATTTTCGTGTGAAGGCCTGTAACAAGGCAGTTGCAGGCGAGTTCTCTGAACCGGTGACCCTGGAGACACCAGGTGACTGATTCTCACTCCCACATTACCCATAGCTCCTCCATCCCGGGACCCTGAAGACCAGTGTGTAGTGAAAATACTCTAATCAGGGTTCTGTGGCCTTTGTTGCCCTGGTTGCCAGGAAGCTCAAAGCTCAGTCCATGGTAGCTTCCTTACCCTCAGTATCTGGTATAACTCTGCTTTTGCCACTACAGTTGATCCCAGTACACCTGGATGGTTTTTGTACACAGACATGCACACATACTTTCTGTCTCTCTCTTTCAACAAATAGATGAATCCTCTATAGAGTTGGGGATAGGATATCAGCAGTAAAGACAGATTCTACAGCCTCCCATAGTAGCAACTTTGCATTGCCTGCTTGGAAATCCCTCTGCAGTCTAGCCTAACTCCCTCATGCTATATAGCCCAGCCTCTTTCTTGAAATTAATCCTCAGTGGAATCATAGGGTAGTGCAGTTGGCTTGAAAATGCCTCCAGACCTGGGAGACCGTTAGGCAACACCCACTTCGCCTTCACTCCTCTGGATCCATGTTCTGTTCCCTCTGCCATTTCCCCCCTTGTCTCTCTTGGTGTCTCGTTGCATGTCTGTCTCTCTCTGAGCCTTTGTGTCTCCATCTCTGTCTGTCTGGACTATGTCTCCTTGTCTCTTTCTGTTCTCTGTCCTTGTCTTGGTCTGTCTTGGTCTGTCTTAGTCACTGTCTGTCTCTCTGTGTCTCTGGGTTTCCCCATTTCTGTGACTCTCACGTCTGCCTGGCCTCAGCGTTCATGTTCCGCCTGGATGCATCCACATCCCACCAGAACCTGCGGGTGGATGATCTCTCTGTGGAGTGGGACGCTATGGGCGGGAAGGTGCAGGATATCAAGACTCGTGAGAAAGATGGCAAGGGACGGACAGCATCTCCCGTCAACTCCCCAGCCAGGTAGCCTGTCTCCTTTACTCCCTGAGTCTCTGTGGAGAAGATCAAGCTAGACATGGACACTGAGCCCAGTGTGGTCAGAGCTGGGGTGGAGGGGAAGACCCAGGACTGGAGGAGCCCAGAGTGAATAAGGGGAGAGAGGATTTCAAATTACATTTTGACAGTTTAAAAGGAGTTTTCCAGATGAGAAAGGGTACAGGCATGTTCTAATACAAATAAGAGAGGCTCAGTATATAGAAAGAACTAAACACTGTCAGAGACTAACTGAACATCCACAGTGGCTGGTGTGGACCAGGGAAGCCCACCTATGGGGAGAGGTAAGAGCTGAGCTGAGTTTTCCTCCTTCCTGCCCCACAGAGGTACTCCATCTCCTAAGAGGATGCCCTCTGGTCGTGGGGGACGGGACCGTTTCACAGCTGAGTCCTACACAGTGCTGGGTAAGGAGGGGGAAAAGAAGGGAGAGAGGGGTGTTCTGGGCAGGGCCTCAATGGTGGGTATTGAGGGAGAACTCCTTTGGTTGGAGAAATAGACAGCAATTAACGAATCTTCTCTGGGAATGGTCCCAATAACATGTGCTGTTCTGGCACTGAGGGAGTGGGAATATTTGGGGATGATAGATTACTGAGAGGAGCCATAGCTTATGGAGCTAAGGAAGGAGGATCTGGACTGGGACGTGGCTGGGCAGGAGCTTGGGGGCTATTCTTTTGAGTCTGTGGAATAGCTGGGATTTGGTGAGTAACTAGAAAGAATGGTTGACTCTGCAGCAGCTGGGTTTATGGAAGAGCTGAAGTAAGACAAGAGTTTGGTGAAAAGGCTTATAATGTGTGAAGGAGCGGGTGGCTGAGGAGAAATTGAGACAGTAGGTAAGACTGGAGGAGAAGGTAGCACCAAAGGACTGATTGCATCTTATAAAGAAGCTGAAGTTAGTGGAGGAAGTGGAGTTTAGGGGAATCCCTACTGTCTAGAAAAGAGCTGCAGAGAGAAGTTAAGGCATGAAGAAGTCTGTAAATATTGAGGGGGGAGGAAGATGGAGAGCAGCTTAGGTCTGGGGAGAAGCTACTGTCTGAGAGGTAGTTATGGTTCTATGGATGATCTGGATATTCTGGAGAGCAAAAGAGATTGGTGAGTTGGGGTTTGGGGAGAAAACAGGGAAAGATATAGGGGGTGTCTTTGGAGTTGCTGAGATTCGAGAGAGAAATAACTAGTCCTCAGGAAGTAGCCTAGGCAATTTGTGGTTGAGGGAGTAGCTGAGATCAAAGAGGAGTAGACCTGGAGAAAAATTATATTTACAGGGGTCCATCTTGTGTCTGGGGAGGACCTGGGATATGGAGATGAGCTGCGAACTGGGAGGAGCTAGAGTGTAAGAAGCTGTCTGGCTCGGCGCCTATAGCTCAACCGGCTAAGGCGCCAGCGACGTACACCTAAGGTGGCAGGTTCGAATCCCCAGCCCGGACCTGCCCAACAACAATGACGGCTGCAACCAAAAAATAGCCGGGCGTTGTGGCGGGCGCCTGTGGTCCCAGCTACTTGGGAGGCGGAGGCA